TGATGTTTTCTAATTCTGAAATTCCTACTTTCTGTGTTGGCACTCTTCTATAATATAGAACTAGGGCTGTTCATTTTACTCTAAAAGGTAGGATAAATGCATGCTTTTTAAAAAGTTACTATTAAGGAACTCCTAGATTTTCATGAATAGGAAGTGTTTTTGGCTAGTTACAGTCTTTTCTTATTTTTGTGGTTTTTTTCAATGCTTAAACTGATAAAACTTTGGCCAGTGGGAGCTGCTGCTTTTGGTCCTGTAGAACAGGTCTCAGAAAGCAGGTGGTGCTTTGGTTGGTGCTGCTTCTCTCACTGTTGTCCACTTTTGTAGCTCAAAACCTTCACTTTTCAACCCCTAAATCTTTGGAAATTCCTTGGTGATCCAGTGGTTAGGATTCTGCGCTCTTACCACCAAGGGCCCAGGTTCAATCCCCAGTCAGGGAACCAAGATCCTGCAAGCTGTGCAGTGTGGCAAACAAACAGAAACACAGAAATCTTTGTTTATGAGGTGACAGCTGCTAGCTCTTGAGTCTAGGAAATGCTTAAGAGAGGCCCACTTCATAGTGCTAGATGAACACACTACCATTACAATGCATTGAGGAGTAATTCTAACAGTGTTCAAAATGCAGCATTCTCATGACAGCTTAAAGATCCCTAACCATTTGTGCACATTTGTGTGAGTTGTGCGCATTTTGCCCAGGTCTCTGCAGTTCAGTTTTGTGGTTTAATGCCTCTTCTTCTTTATACTCAGATTTCACGGAATTTGCATGTATCTCAGTGTTTTTTCTGCTGATGTTTATTTAAGAAGATTATATGTTTGTTTCACAAACTTAATACAGCAATTTTCTCTTCAGAGCAATGTGCTGAAGAGTTTCAGTTACATTCCAACTATCCTTGAGAGAAGATGACATTTGGAAAACCATGACAGCAAAAGAGATATGAGTTCTAGATGGGCCTGGCATTAGGAGACAGTATTACTGTGTATAAAGAACTGTTAATGGTCTTGTTTGACAATGTTTTAAGTATTTAGTGGTGTTGAATGACAGTGTTTCAAGTATATAACATACTAGCATGATAATTTGCTACAGGTGTGTATTTATTGTGTTTTTAGCTCCCTTTTAGGAAGGAAAAACCGGTAGGAGATATGATCAGAAAGGTCTAGGATACCCAGGTCATGTGAGACCTTGTAGACCAAGGAGTAAGGACTTTGGATTTTATTTTGAGTGGGAGAGGTAACCAAGGGTTTTAGGGGAGGAGTGACATGATCCATCTGAACCTTGAAAAGCATCATTCATGCTACAACGTGGAGAACAGACTTGGGAGGTGGTAGGGAAAGTTCATGGGGAAAAGTAGAACCAAGGAGACTAGTTAGGAAACTGTCACATTAGTCCAGGTGTTGGCTTAGGTAGCAGCGGTGAATGATGCCGAGTAGTTATATTTCAGGCATGTTTTTGAAATGGGACCAACAGGATTTGCCAGATCATCGAATGTGGGATGTGAATTAAAGAGAGGAGTTGAGGAAGATGCCAGGGGTTTTGACCAGAGATGCTGGTGAATAGTTATGCCGTTTACTGAAACTGGAGGTAGGTTTAGAGGACAAGGTCAGGAGCTCAATTTTGGACATGTTATGTTTGAGATGATGCTTAGATATCTAAGTGATATCAAGTAGGTGGCAGGATATAGAAATCTGGATTTCTTTGGGGTGGGAGGTGGGAGAGCTGGGGCTTGGAAATTAAAATTTTGGTGTCATCAGCCATGGGACTCATTGGGATCACTAAAGGAGTGAATATAGATAGAAAAGAGAAGTCTGAGGATTTACCCTTGGGACATTCCAACCTTTATAAATTGGGGAGATGAGAATCGAGCAAAGGGGACACAGTCAGTGATGTAGGAAGCCTTTCTGAGGCCAAGTGAAGAAAGGGTTTCACGAAAGAGTAGGGTCAGCTGTTCACCTTCTAGAAGTCTTACACTTTTGTATTTTACATTTAGGTCTGTGATTCATTTTGTGAAAAATATGGTCAGTGTCTAGGTTCTTTTTTTTCCCCCTTTGGTATGTGGATGTCTGTTCATTTATTTTTAATGCTCTCTTTTGGAAGAGGTTTTTAAGTTGCTAAATTAGGTATCTCAACCTTCATCTTTCCAGGTTTGTGGAGTCCAACTTTTTGACGATGGTCCCAAACGGTGGTCTCCCCCACAGTTGTTAGATGGTGTTATGTGAACTATTGCCAGCAGTTTCATTCTTCTTAGATTGTGTCCAGCAGAAACACACATAATATCATACCTTAAATACAAGGGTTTTGTGTAAGGATAAGATAAATGTCTGTTTTGGTACCTCATTGAAAGGTATCTAATGTATGCTTGTATTTCATCAGTTCTTAGAATTCTTTTCACCAGTCTAATTTTAGTATTGCATGGCATTACACTAATAGGAGACAGAAAATATAATTTTTACCAACTTCTGGAGACACATCTACCAAATCTTTGACAGAATAGTTTGTTGTGACTAAATTTGTCATTCTATATTCTCCCAGGAGGTTTTAGTATTTGGGTATATTGTTGTATATATATATTCTTCCTTCCAAATCATGGTTGTTGACTATGTTAAATGATGTTAACTGTTATTATTAGTAGCCGTGGGAACACTATGGTTTATATTATTCTTATCCATAATTGTACCTTTTGGCAACTGCACCTTCTCCCACCTTATCCTTCCCAGAATTGTCATCCAGTGGCAAAAACTTGCTAAGCTTATTAATGTTTCTTTCTTTTTTTTTTAATTGGAGGATAATTTCTTTACACTGTTGTGTTGGTGTCTGCCGTACAACATTGCAAATCAGTCGTAACTCTCTCTATAAATATCCCCTCCCTCTTGAGGCTCCCTCGCGCCCCCAGTAAGTTTATTTCCGAAAAATAGAAATTGATAATAAATATTTGCAAATGTTTTTTCAGCATCTTTTGATGTGATCAAACTTTTTAAAGATTGGTTCTTATGCTAATACTTTGTTGATAATTTTGTTGAATTAGTTAAGGAATCAGGCTTTTCTTAAGACAAATGAATAGATCATGGTGACATACTGTATCACATATGCAGTTAGTGTGTGCTAATATATATGCTTAACTATGTTTAGCATTTTTATTCTTGTGTTTGAGGTTAATTTGTTTTCTTATTTTAATCCTCTTTGTATTTTATAATCAGTATCATATAAAATGGGAGACAATGCTTTATATTAGGAAGTTAGGAACGTCACTGTCACTGGTATTATTGAATCTGTACATTTGAAGAAATTATGTTACATTTATCTAGTAAGGACTTTTTTGGCCGTACTGCGCTTGTGGGATCTCAGATCCCTGACCAGGGATTTGAGCCTGGCCCCCTGGCAGTGAAAGTGCCAAGTGCTAACCACTGTGCCACGAGGGAATTCCCTGGAGACTTTTTATCCTTTGTAGCTTTTAATAACTTTCTCTGTTAATTGACAATTATATTCTCATTTTCTTTTATGAATATATAAGGCTAATATATGATAAAAATCTGTCTTTAAAGTCTAAAGAGTTATTTCAGTAAGTGTGAAATAAAAATTTTTAGTATTAAGAAAATGTGTCAGAGTTTAGTTGGTAGCATTCTTTCTCAAGGATGTGGAATATTGGGACATCTGAAATGATGACATTGTCAGTTTTATAAAATATGGTACCTATCAGCGTAACATCCACAGGAATGGCAGTGGGATATCTTCTTAGGTTCAGCTAAACACTTGCACATTCAGACTGCTAAAGCCACCGCAGATCTCACTTGGCAACGCTTTATTCGGAAGGATATAGGACAGAAACTGTAACTTTCTGTTAGATAAACTGTAAGACAGCGGCAGTCCTTGCAGCAGCTCATTGTTTCTGACGTGCTCTTCTCACAGCTAAGGGTCCAAGAGACAAGGTCCACGATGGGTGGTGCGGGAACTCCATGGGCATGGTTCCAGGGTCTTCTGCCAGGGACATACATGCCTAATTAATTACGTATCACCACACTCAGAGAAGTTCAAGAACATGGCTTCCTACACTCTGTCTGCTTCCAGTCCAGATGCAGTTTACTAATTTGGTAGTTTCTGTCGTAAAACAGTGTTGCCAGATAACATAGGTGGCATGCTATCTTAATCAGGTTCACAGGGATTAACCCAAGGTTAAATTCTTATATATAAGGAGAAGGGGTTTTGCTCATTTTGGACCACAGTCATGCTTGCTGATTTTCTCACTTATGACTTCTTATTTTATACAGTATCATCTTTCAGAAGACTTTTCTTACTCCAATATTATTTTTTAAATCGGCATTTTCTTTTAAAATTGGTTTTACGTAGATCTTGAGCCATCATTGTCTGTATGGTGAGGTAGAAGCTGAAACTTTTTACAGATGGCTTGCCCCTTGTTCCAGTCATTTATTGCACGGTCATTTGTTTTCCTATTGGTTAGAAATGTCACTCTTGTCATAGAGCAGTTACTAGGAGGTAGTTCATCAAATTAACAAATGGTTGGGTATATTAAAAATGTATATTTTAAAGTAATAAAAACCTACTTATAATCATGTGATTGTGTATTAGATTGTGTTACTTGTATGCTGCAAATTTATAGTGTCAGTTTTTTTCCTAAAAGCCAGTATATGTAGTGTAAAAAGCAGTATTCTTTTTTCTAAACAAGTTTGCCTTATTGAAGGCTGTTGTGCTTATTTAGGTGGCCTTACTCAGAAAACTAACCACTCAGTGCCGTGGAAAGCGGGGAATTAAGGGTTTGAATCATGGGGTTCTGGTTTCAGACCTGCTACTTCACTGACTGCCCCTTTGTTCAAGGCAGCCTGTCTGTGTTTTGTTTTGCTCAAACTGCACGAATACCAATCCCTGTCCTGCCTGTTTCCGAGTATTGTTGAGAATTAGATGGGCTGATGGATATAAAGGCATGTGTAATTGGTAAAGCAGGTTAAATGTGAGGAATTATTGCATCTTAACTTTTCCTCCCTTTCTCTTGTAGGTAGTGTTGGCGCTTCTTTTCAGTGCCAGTCCATCCATCACGACCACATTTGTCATGATGACAGTGACAAGGTGAGGTCCGTGTTGATGTCTACAATGGTGAAAATGCATGCTGCCCTGTATCACTGAATTCACTTGCATAACTCTGGATGTAGAGGCAGGAGTGTGTGACTTGGGGGGCACAGTGTTGAGATGCAGGGGGCCTTTCTGGTTTGTTGCTGGGTTGTTAGACTGCTCCAGAAAACTTGCAGGTAATTCCAGGAGGTGGGCTGGGCTCCTGATAACCCTTCCATTTCCTTACCCCCATTCCTGTCTCTGTCACTACACTTCCTCTTTTCCTGAACAGCCTGGATGGATTATCTTCATATCTGAACAGGTGTTTCCAAAACTGATGACTATCTCAGCAATTTGTGTGTGTTTCCAATTTGAAATATCTTCGACATTCCAGTTTGGTCTGTTTTGTAGTTGACTATATTATGGCTTCTTCTTATACTTACTTTTTTCTTTTTTTTTTTAACTCCGTTTCCAAAGCCCAATTTAAATGTTGAGGATTGAGAATGGAACCTGTCTGCTTCATGCCAAAAAAACCTGCTTTAGGCTTGTTTTGTTTTTTAAATCAGGTCCAGACTTTTGGTAGTTTGCTTCTGTTCTTTTATCTCTAAAGAGAGTGGTCTTTGGGGGCTTTTCAGTACTCACGAGCACCCGTGATGGCCAGGCCCTGAAGTGAATACTAACGCGGGCTTGGTGTTTGGAACCTCTGGCCGCTGATACTGGAAGGGCTTAAATTCCGCCTTTTCCATCATCAGTTTCCAGTGGTTCCCCCCTCCACTTCCTGTGTCTTGTGGACAGGAATGTATCACTCCCCTGGTAGTTTCCCCAGGCGGACCAATCCAAGTGATGTTTTTCTCTGCTGTTTTAATCAAGATCCTCCTCCCTCATCCTGTTGGAGCCTGATCAAGAAGTTGGTTGAACACTGGGATTTTCCAAATGGCCTTTGTTCCGTGTGTTGATCTCTCTATGAGCTTTGCTCAGTCAGATTTTGGTCTGTTTATGGAGAGAGTGGTATACTTTTAGTATTCCAGATTCTCTCTTATTATGATAGTCATCCAGAGGCATGGGCTTAACTTTTAGCTTCTTTCAGAAGCAAGCCACTGAAAGAGACTTCTAGACTATATAGTTAGCTCCCTAAAATGTAGTATACCACAGATTTTAGAAATAAGCATCTGAAAATAAGACCAATGATAGAGACAAAAGGCAAAATCACTTTAGGTCAGTAATACTGTGAGCCGTTGTGTTACATAATTGTAAAGATGTGTGGGGGTTAACTTTTCTATCCCCTGCTCAGTATAATATGCCTCTATCCATTGTTCACTTACAGTGGAGAAGCCAGATTTAGAGTCTAGAGATGAGATTTCTGTCCACCTCTGCCACATATTTTTTATCTACTTTAAAATGATTTTCTTTCTAATGTCTGAACCTTTGTATGACTGATTTTGTGCTTTTAGGATGGGGTCTCTCTTGAAACACATGGGGAGAGGGAAGAGAAATTTGAGGCATTTTGTCACTTGATCAGTCTATCAAAGAGCTGTCAGAAACTGCTCTGCTCTCCTTTCCCTCCTGCCTACCATGCATATGTTTATGATTGTCTCCTAGAGGGAAATGGAGAGAATGGATTAGGGTCTCTTGAATATATTTATAATTTATTCAACTGATTCAGTCAGCAAATAATATTTGTTGATTGGCAGCTATGTTTCTAGGCACTTAGGGAATATATCAGGATACAAAGCAAAGATTGCTGTTTTTTCTTAAATGTGCAGTCTGATGGGGGAGCAGACAATAAACATAAACGTAATATGTTGTACAGTATGTTACAGTAAGCACAGTGGATTGAAGAAAATGTACAGCAGAATAAGTGGGATGAGGACCACCAAGAATTGGATGGTACAGATTGCAGCTTTGAATAGGATCATTAGACATTATTCTGGGAAGGAGAGTGGTAGATAGGATAAGACTCAGATCACTATGTTTGTAGCAGCCTCTGACTTCTTTCTTCCTATAATAAATGGGTGTTGGTTTTGCAAAGCAGCAGTGACACCTGCTCCCTGGTACATGCCACCTGGATTATGTGTTCTTTTCTCTCTCTCCCTGAAAATTGACAGGATTACAGAGCACAGCTAATTCAACCCTGTTTTTAAAATAAACTTGGAAGCTGTGATCCCAGTGGAGAAAAGACTCCATTCCAGGGAGTCACCCTGGAGTGCTGGGGCTAGATCAGTTCTTCTATCCCAGATACAAGCCACTTAAAATAATTGTCTGGTTATTTCTGAAGACATTTTCAAAACACATGGATACTTACTATCCTCACTTAAGTTTCAGGCATGGTTCATTTCTCAGATTTGGGAACAGAAGTTGATGTTTCTTAAAAGTTGTCTGAATTCTAACTAGTGCATGTGTGATGGAGGTGAAACCAGGAGTAAAGGGGCCATTTGTTGTCCATCCCTTCTGTAGCCTTGCAAGTGGCAAGCCCTCAAATCCCATGATTGAGCTTGTTTTCCAACTTGAGTTCCTCTGCTGCTGTACATCGGCTTGACAGTGCTGGAAGGAGCTGATTGCAGCTCTGAGGTTTACTGCTGAATACTGTGAATTACATACTTCCATGTTCAGTTTATACTGGGCACAGCAATTCACACAGAGCCCTCTAGGAATATTTTTATATTCATTTATAATGTCATACCCCATAATTTCCAAGTAGCAAACATCAATTATATATTTGAGTACCTACTATAAACTAAGCATTGTTTCAGGCATTGGAGACAAGTATAGTGAACAAAACAGACAGGAACCCTTACTCTTGAGGGGCTTGCCCTCTCTGTAAATGATTAGGGAGATGGCAGAACATAATTAAATGTACTGTTAGTTCATTCGTGTTTTGAGGAACAATAAATCAGGTAAGGGATACAGGAGCATTAGGAAAAGATTGCCTTCCAAACACCCTTTGTAATAGGGATTGTTTTACTCCCATTTGTAAGGTGAGGAATGTGAGACAGATTAAGTAATTGCCCAAGATTACCCAGTTAGTAAGTAGTAAACAGGGATTCAAACTCGAGCTCCTTAATTCCAGAGTCTGTATTTGACCAACTGAAGAAATCTGTTCCTAATGTCGCTTTATATACTCAACTCTGACGGGCTCAGAGAAAAATGTATGTTCTAGTGAAGGCCCTGGAGAACCACAGTGAACCAAGTCAGTCGGCAGGCAGTTTTGGTCTGTTGGTTTTTTCTTGTCCAGCCTTTTGACATCCAAAAGGACTCATGACTGTTCCTCCAGGCCTCTCTAACCTGAAAGCCCTGCTTCATTCCCAAAAACCTGTGCTTCTTTATAAGAAACCTCACATCTGTGTTGCTGTATTGTGCTGATCAAATGTGATGGTTATGTAAAAGGGCTTTAAAAGGATAAAGAAGGGAAATACGTGATTGTGACAGCATATTTATGTTTCACTTAGGTACTGAAATTAACCTAACTCAGCTGATGTACTTGAGATACTTGGAATTAAGTAGTCACCTTCACAGTGAGAACAAGCCTGGCATGGGGCAATAGGTCTGTCCTGAGGATGAGCTAAAACATTGAATAGTCTGGTAACAGGAGACTTCAAGTGAGAGGAATGAATCTGTAGCCTACACTTTTCCTGAGTGGCCTGGTAATATGTCTGGGAAAGCTGGCCATCTGAGAGAAGGAAATGGGAGAGTTCTTTCTAAACCGCATGTATATAAATGGCTGGTCAGAGCAAAAGTCCTTTCTGGACAAAATTTCCTTGTGCTGGCCTTCAGTCCTTTGGTCACGGAAGGAGGCACCAATGACCGTTTGTGTATGATCATCCTACACACCCCACTTTCAGAAAGGTGGGAGATGTGCTGTTGGTTTTTCTTCCATGACTGTATACTTCCTTTTATCTTTTAAATTTTTTTTTTAAAATTACGTGGTGATTAGAAAAAAATACGCAGCACTACATTCAGTCCCTCTCCCCAGAAGTTAGCAGCCATTGGGATTTCAGTATTAACAGGATTTTTAAAGTTATGTTTGTATAGGGTATTTTTCATCTTGCAAACAGTGGTTTTTTAGTCTATTCAAAGAGCTGTTCCACCATCTAAGTGTAGGACACTCATCATCACTGCCCACCGAGAAACCCAGACCCTTCAGCAGTCTCTCCCCACTGTTTCTTCCCCTCAGCTCCTGGCAGCCACTGGTCTTTCTATCTCTGGATTTGCCTGTTCTGCACATTTCAGATAAATAGAATTACAAAAAAATCTGGCCTTTTGTGTCTGGCTTCTTTCACTTGCCATGATGATTTCATGGTTTGTCTGTGTTGTAGCATGAATCAGTACTTCATTCCTTTTTATGGGTAAGTAATATTCCATTGTGTGGAGCTAGCATGTTTTATCTGTCAGTTCCCTAATGAGTGAATATTTGTTTCTATGTTTTGGTTATTATCAATAAGACTTTTATGAACATTTGCCTGTGAGTATGTTTTTGTTTTCACATGATTTGAACATTTTGAGGAGCTGTCAAACTCTTCCAAAGTGGCTGTACCATTTTGCATCCCAGCAAATGCCTGAGGGTTCCAGTTTCTCCACACACTTGCCAATACTTCTTTTTCCTGATTGTCTTTTAAACTACAGCCACTGTAGTGAGTGTGAAGTAGCATCTCATTGTGGTTTCAATTTTCATTTCTCTAGTGACTAAGTATGCTGAGCATCTTTTTATATGTTTATTGGCCATTCTTAAATCTTCTCTGGTCAGTTAAAACATGTCAGTTAAAAGTCTTTTTATTGTTCCTGTCCCTTGTGCTTTAAAACAAAAGAGAGAAAAACAAAACCAAATCTCCCTGTGCCCCGTATTATATAGTTACACGTGTTTATTAGGGAAATAGAAATAGATTGTTATAAGTAGATACACCATCTTGCAGTAGATAACTCTCTTAAAGTGCTTTTTTTTTTCCTTTAAATTTTTCTTTGCATTCTTTGCGCGGTTACATTAAAACTAAACTGCATTGATTATCTATGGTTGTGTAATTAAT